ATATTATGTTGGGGGTTCCTTACTATAGATGTATTATAAGGGCCCGCAAAACCTTATTCTAATTATAACGGCCCCTGTACTAACCCCCAGTTTGAGGTACAAGGAGGCCTCTGCTTAAACCGCCAGAGTCGCCTGTCTTTCCACAACTTTTTTGCAACCCATAAAACCCCGAACTTAAACCGTAAACCCTGAACCCTNNCCCTAAAGCCTAAACCCTAAAGCCAAGGACCTTCTCATGATCCACGGTTTCTCGATGCTCGGCCTCACTGGAACGGCAGCTTCGATGGCCAACGACGTGAATATGGAAGCACAGAAGCGCGCGGCGCAGGCAATTCCGAGTTTAGGGTTTAAGGTACTGGTGCCTGTGGTTATGTGAGGGATCGGAATGATTGATTCCTGCAGGGTTCTGTTGCAACATGCCCACAGCCGTATTCTAATGATTATTCAGGCCCCTCAATTGTGCGAAACATGGGGAAAAGGGCATCGTGAGCATGGACCGAGGCATGAGCACCAACATGGAACTCGGCAAGTCTTCTGTAAGCCCCACCGAACCACTTCTCATGGCCTATGAACTTGGCCTCTTTGACTGCGAAGGCCGTGGACGGGAAGACACGTCCCCCAGCCGCAAAGGAGGACTCGGAGAAAGGAAGGAGGCGACTGCCTCTCCAACACTCCCTGACAGCTCCGGTGGCAAGTGATTCATCCTTCAAGCGCAGGCATCTCTCCCTCCACCGACTGCATGCTCTTGGTGCTCATGGGCGAAGATGCCGTGCAGCCAGAGCCGAGGCAAAGATGCTTGAAGTCTCGCAAAGAACTGGCCCGAGGCCAGTATCGCCTGAACCCAAAGGGTTCGGATGTTTAGGGTACTCTTGAGCATGAATGACGGCTTCCGAGCTCTTGTGTGCAAGAGTCCTCATGGCTTGGAGCTGCCATTTCTAAGACGGATGCCACAAAAACTCGGAGGAAACCCTAAACCCTGAAGGTTGGTCTTACAGGAGCTGAAGTCCATTCTCTTCCGGAGGGGGGTATAAGTTAGAGTAACCCTTGCCCAGTTTGGGTAACAATACC